ACAGAAAACTAATCGCACATGAGCAGACAGTAAAAAAGAAGTTTGACTTCCATGTAAACAGTAAAAGGAGAGACAGACGTAGAAATAGAGCGAACAGAATCGCTGTTTTTGATATTAACTAAAAGAAAAAAAAACTCTGGATCGGCGTCATTGATCAGATATCAGATCCAGTTCATTTCTCAACATCTGATCCAAATATCGGTGCATCTCTAGTCCGGCCCTGTTGGATCATGAAGCACTGAGGACTGCTCTGTGTGTGTGTGTGTGTGTGTGTGTGTGTGTGTGTGTGTGTGTGCACCTGGAAGAGGAGGTGCTGGGCAGCGGTCTCCTCATGGCTCCTGGACTCATGCTGTAGTAGGAGGAGCTGTCCAGATCGGCCAATGAGAAGTTTGGACCGGTACCGGCTGCGATCGGCGCTGAAAGACAAACAGACGGAGAGGAAACGTTGAAACACGTCTGAAGATGGAGTCCAGGTGTTTGTACCTGAGGTCAGGACCAGGTGAGAGTCTTCACACAGACGGACAGGTGAACCCGGGGGGGAGGAGTCTGAACCCTGAGCTCAGGTTCATGTCATAGAAATAAAACACACAGACAGACCTGATCTTCCTGCTGCAGCTCGATCTCCTCCGTCTCTTCACTTTATTCACCTGTTTGTTTGTTTGTTTGTTTGTCTGTTTGTTTCTTTGTTTCTTTGTTTGTTTGTTTGTTTCTTTGTTTGTTTGTTTGTTTGTTTGTTTGTTTGTCTGTTTGTTTCTTTGTTTCTTTGTTTCTTTGTTTGTTTGTTTGTCTGTTTGTTTGTTTGTTTGTTTGTTTGGACTGATGCAGAGAAACCCCAGAGATGGTTTCGAACCTGCAGCCCGTCCCTGATGAACCTCCACTATAAAACTGAGGAGGAGTCCGGCAGATCCGAGCCCCAGACCAGGATCAGACAGTCCTCAATGAAACAGAGGGGCTGATGTTTGAGACCTTTGAATCCTGCTGCTGTGTTTTAATCAGGAAACTAAGTTCTGGTCCCAGTGAGTCCCATCGACCTCTCAGTGAACCTGGAGTTAGGACGCCTTAGCTGACCACCAATTTTCACCGCATCCGGAACGGCGGCGATTTTCACCGTCCGCCAATTCCTACTAGATCCGTTTGTGGGGCGGTCTTCGTGGTGGATTACGGACAGCGGGAATCACGAGAACTCACAAGAACCCGCAGATTCACGTCCAATCATACGATAACAAAGTGTCTCTCTAAAGACAGACACATAGACATATAAGCAGTAGATTGTGTCCTTCCAGAGGAGGAAATCTACTTCTAGACTTCTAGAATCAGCATCTCCTCATCCATGGTGTCATCGGGGTGAAATGACGTCTAAAAACCTTTCACTTGTTCGTCTCCGCCCGTTTGCATGGTGTGAAATACGATCCTCCTGAAACACGGAGTGTTTTATTTTGAAAAGAAGACGGATGTTTTATTTTGAAGTCTGTGCCCGACTTCCTTTTAGTAGACGATGAGGATGAAGGTGGAGGTCGGGGGTCACGCTCATCTTCACTCGACCATCTGAAATCTCATGTGGACTAATTTATGAACTTTGTCAGGAGGACGATGGAAAACCTCCAGGCTGGATCTACAAACGTACGGGAGCCTGACAGGCCGGAGCGTCAGCCAGGAGAGAGATCCACGAAATCTGACCCAGATCCACAAAACTGATCCGGATCAGACTTGATCATTAATGTGGATTCTCCTCCTGACTGAGCGGCAGGTGTTTCTGAGATGGAGCTGCAGCAGGTCCAGATGTGTGTGAAGAAATCAGCGTCTGAAACTTGATTTAGTTTTTAGTGAACAAAGTGTGTGTGTGTGTGTGTGTGTGTGTGTGTGTGTGTGTGTGTGTGTGTGTGTGTGTGTGTGCTCTCAGCTGTTAGTGCTGGCATGTCGAACTCTGAAGCTTCACGTTTCACAGACTTATGTAATGAGAGCTAAGTGCATGGCATTAGCATCTACGGCTAAAACTATCAGCTCTCCTCCTCCTCCTCCTCCTCCTCCTCCTCCTCCTCCTCCTCTTCCTCCCTCTCTCTTTCTGTCCTTCCTCTCTGATCTGTTCATCTTCTGCCATTCACTCTCCTCTGCATCACTCTCTCTGGAGAGCAGCTCTGCACAAAGGCCTGTGAGGGCTTTCACTACGAGAGAGAGAGAGAGAGAGAGAGAGAGAGAGAGAGAGAGAGAGAGAGAGAGAGAGAGAGAGAGAGAGAGAGAGAGAGAGAGAGAGAGAGAGAGAGAGAGAGAGAGAGAGAGAGAGAGAGAGAGAGAGAGAGAGAGAGAGAGAGAGAGAGAGGGAGAGAGAGAGAGAGAGAGAGAGAGAGAGGGAGAGAGAGAGAGAGAGAGAGAGGGAGTCCTGTCTTTGTTGTCAAATGCTTCAGTTTGAAAATCCTCCTGAACAAAGGCAGCAATCAGCTTCAAACCCGGACATCCGTCTCGCCCCTCGCCTCCAGCCCCCCTCCATCCCTCCTCTTCATCGCTTTATTGACAGAGAGCATGATGGCGTGATGGGATGAAAGGAGGAGGAGGAGGAGGAGGAGGACTGACAGGACCTGGTGGGTCGTTTTCTGCTGAGCTCAGCACCGTGAGCTCACCCTATCTATCTATCACTCTCTCTCTCTCTCTCTCTCCCTCTCTCTCCCTCTCTCTCTCTCTCTGCCCTGCAGAGATAGTACAGGTCTGACTCTCTCTCTCTCTCTCTCTCTCATTAGGTCATACACTCCTCCCAAGGTCTTGAGCGGTACTTCTTCTTTCTTTCCTTCACTTTGTAACTTTGTTGAGCTCTGAACGTACCTGCTGTCTGCAGGAATGGTTACTGTCCAGCCACAGACACTCAGGTTAACCTACAGACCAACAGACTGAACAAACATAAATAATTTACTTTTACATTATTATCATAATAATAATCAATCTGTATACTTTATATCTAACGTTACAGAAAAGTGAATATTTATGTATTTATTTCATATTTCATAGTTTTTATTTCATAGTCTAAACTCTGTAAAAACAGTTTAATGTTTTAATCTTTTCAAATATGTTTTAATATCATTTTATTGTTTTTACAGAGAAAACAAACTCCAATATACCTGTACCTGAAAACTTCTGCTCTGTTCTGTCTAAGCTCGCACCTGTATTTTCACCTGTGCACCTACACTGAGTCGACCATCCCATGTTGAAGCCTTCATTGATCAGTTTTGTGCGTAATGATCCTTTCAGCCTGCAGGAGGAGCTGCTGAGTCTCTGAGCGGTTGACGAAGGTTCAGTGTTTTGGTGATAGAGCTGGAAGATGATTGTACAGGTGAGCTTCAGCAGGTAAAGCTTCATTTAAACAGTCATGGTGAGAGGATGATCACGCTGATCTCTAATTAACTCTAAGAAACTCGTTAACTCATTTGATTTCATTTGATTGATTTGATCGTCCTCCTCTTTTATTATCATTATGACTCTGATTATTATTAAAACTGCCACACATACAACACACACATTTGTGCTGCTGTGCCCATATGGTGCTGGCACACCACCAGCTGTGTGTGTGTGTGTGTGTGTGTGTGTGTGTGTGTGTGCTACACACTTGTGTGTGTTGCCAGGGGCAACGGAGGGCAAGAGGAAGGAGGGATGGAGGAGTTTGAACCGTGCAGGCCTCCAGCTTTATACGTCTTTTCATCCCAGCATCGCTGTGTGTGTGTGTGTGTGTGTGTGTGTGTGTGCGTGCGTGCGTGCATGAATGTGTGTGTGTGTGTGCTTGTGTGTGAGTTGGTGGGAATGCCTCCAGAAGAAGGTACTAGAAGGTGCCAAGTGGGTCATCTGCTTTCTTATCTGTGTGTGTGTGTGTGTGTTCTCTTAGGATGTGTGTGTATGTGTGCAGTTACAGTGTGTGTCTTCAGAATGGATTCAGTCTGTGTGTGTGTGTGTGTGTGTGTGTGTGTGTGTGTATCTGTGTGTGTGTGTGTGTGTAGGACTGTTATGCCTTCATATCAACTTAATCCCCAAATCCTTACGTCTAATATCAGCTCCTCTGACACAGTGGGAGGAAAGAGTGTGTGTGTGTGTGAGTGTGTGTGTGTGTGTGTTTGTGTGTGTGAGTGTGTGTGTGTTTCTGTTGTATCAGTGCCAAGGTGTGCCCCTGGCTCCTCAGTCACACAGCCATGTGGTGTTTGTGTGAATGTTTATGTATGTGGTGGGTGAGTGTGTGTTAATATATGTGAGTGTGTTCATTATATTTGTTTATGTGTTTGTGTTTGTATGTGTGTATGTGTGTGTGTTTCAAATTTAACTTGTTTTAACCCTTCATAGATAAACCTGCAGCTCCTCTTGCTGCTCTGCTCTCGTCTATAATCTGATAATCATAACAATAATAATTGTGATAATTATATATATAAAAAATATATTATTATTATTATATAATAATAGTGATAATAGTGATAATTATATAATAAAATAATATTAATTATTATAGTAATAATAGTTATTATTATTATTAAAGTGACAATATAATAATAATAATAATAATAATAATAATAATAATAATAATTATTATTATTATTATTATTATTATTATTATTATTATTATTATAACGGAAACAGTTATTAAAATCCTGACAGAGTTCAGAGTCAGTGTTATCACACAAACTCACAAATCCAGTCTGGGTGTGTGAGCTGTTCTTTAATGCACATATTCACATTTCTCTGTTTCTGATGATAATTATAGTTTCAGATGATATGTCATTGGGACTTTTCCTTTCTGCAGATACTGATAATCAACTTTTGAAGCTGCTGTGTGCTGATACAGAGACGATCGCATGCATCCCTGACTGAAACCATGTGACCGCTGTGATCTTTGTCTTCATCCTCTTTTCTGCACAATTATCACAGCCATTAAAAAACGTAAACTACATTATCTCCCATAAATTAAAGCTTCAGGTCAAATTAGGGAAAGAGGAGGTTCTGTTATTAGAGGAGATGAAGTGGGTCAGTGTGCCGGAGGAGGAGAGGGTGAAGGAAACATCTGCGGGGGGTGGAGGGGGGTCAGGATCCAGTCGACAGAAATAAACTGAACTGACCGATTACAGTCAATACAGAACTGCTAGACTAACCTGTACCCCCCCGCCTCACCCTCTCTCTCCCTCCGTCTCAATCCCCCTCCACTCTCTCACCCCCCCTCATCTCTCTCTTCCTCTCTCTCTTTTTGTGTGCTGCTTTAATAGGATATTGATCGACAGAGAGAGATTCGATTGGCCTGCCAGTGAATTGTGTAATGGCTGCACAACGCCAAGGTCACCCGCTGTGTGTGTGTGTGTGTGTGTGTGTGTGTGTGTGTGTGCGCACTGTTCAATACCCCCTCAACCCCCGACCACTTCTCATCTTCTGGTAAGCTATAGGCTTCAGTCACCCCTGCAGACCCCTGCGTGAGTGTATTTGTGTGTGTTTGTGTGTGTGTGTGTGTGTGTGTGTGTGTGTGTGTGTGTGTGTGTGTGTGTCCATTCACTCCATTAAACAGGCTCCCTCTCTCTCTCACTCTCTCTCTCTCTCCTGTAAACACACCTACATGTGTTGCACATGTGTAGTCAGCCCAGCAGACGTCAGCTTCAGTGTGTCTGAGTTTGTTAAAATCCCCCAAAGTTCGGGTTCCTCTCTGTCAGAGTCTGGCGCCCCCTCTGGACGAGTGCTGAAGTGTTTTAAAACTGACTGAATTAAAGTAATAAACTTATATCTATTTATATATATAATAAATATATTAATGTATATAAACTTCACATGACTAATGTCAGAGCAGGTTACTCACTGCTGACTCAGGAAAACCCTGAATTCACTGTCAGTGGTCCTCGAGTCTTCTGGACCCGTTTAAGGTTCTTCAAGAATCGTCACATACACACCCATTCAAAACAGGTGGGGGGGTTCAAAGGGTTCTGGTCTGAGCAGATCCTCTCATCTGGATCTCACCTGGTCTAACAGGTGTGCAGCTGAGCAGGTCTGACTGTGTGTACATACACACCTGTCCCTGTCCACACACACACACAGACAGACACACACAAGGTGTGCACGTACACAGTGTTTTATCACACTGGTATAGCTGGAGGTCATACACACACACACACACACACACACACACACACACACACAGTGGACTCTCCTGCACTCTAATCTATAAGTGATTCTTCCAGAGCTGCATCGCTGCAAATCTGCTGACCAACACAAAAACACACACACACACACACAAAAACACACACACACACACACACACACACACACACAAAAACACACACACACACTGAATAAAAAAGGCTGTGTGCATCAGTGAATATATTTGTGTCCACCTGAATATGTTTGTGTGAGTATATGAACATGGTATACTGTGTGTGTGTGTGTGTGTGTGTGTGTGTGTGTGTGTGTGTGTGTGTGTGTGTGTGTTGCAGCATCACAGGGACACAGTCTCAGAGTGTTGTTTTCCTGACTGTAGAAATATGAAACAGAGTAAACTCAGACTTGAGGAAATGAAATCCGACTTCACTGCAGAGAAATTAAAGGGTTAAAAAAGAGTGAAATGCTCCTTTAAACGGGAGGGGGCGGCAGCTTTCCTTTGTTTATTATTAAATCAGGTTACATGACCTCTCTATGTCTGCTCAGCTGGTGCCCGTCTGTAATCTAAGTACTTGTCTATGAACCCTGAACAAGGACTGGGCGATAAAACGATAACGATATCAAAAATTAATTTCCATCAATATCGATATGAAACATGATCAATATCCTTTTCAATAGTCGTCATTCTGACATGTTTTGGTCGACTATACGAACAGCCAATGAAAAGGGGAGTGTCTCCGGGTCTGAACCAATCATGTTCTGAATTAGAACCAAGTATCAACCAACTGCAGCGTCGTAGCAGACAGCAGCTCCACCCAACCATAGCACTTTAACAGGTGAAGCCGACAGCACTGTTGGTGAGAAACAAAGAAAATGAGTGCTACCCCCGACAGAAATGACCATGAAGGCTCAACAGATGACCACATCAATGTCAACCACAACACTGGCGTTAGGAAAACGTCGGTGGTGTGGAGGTATTTTGGTTTTTGGAGGTCGGACATGAAGCAGAGTAATGTGGACTGTAAATTATGTCGAGTACATGTTCTCACAAAGTCGGGGAATACCTCAAATCTTTTTCACCACCTGAAGCAGCGCCACGCCGCAGAGCACGCGCAACGCCAAAGGTTACGAACCCCGAGAGGAGCGAGGAGCCCATGGCGCCTGAAACAGACGACCATTCAGTCGGCTTTCTCTAGAGCGACGCCTTACGACAAAACGCCAAAGAGACACAAAGACCTCACAGATGCAGGAGATTCATTTACAGGGACACGACTCAGAACCATCTCTGCCGCACTTTAGGGTCCGATGAGTTCACTAGTATCCCAGCAGATGGTACCGGTCCGTTATCAGCTCCTGAGCATCAGAACCTGCACCTTTGAAAGTGGACCGCCTGGTGGAAAC